ATTCTCAGAAAGTTTATTTTAAAAGATATTCTATATTTGTGTTCTTTTTAATTATATGAGTTTGCTTATGAGAATAAATTAAGCATGTGCAAATGATAATTATAATTTAAAAAATTATGATTATTGGATTAATTCAAACATTATTTAATTCTTTAAGTTCATACATTTTGAAAAAGTATAAAAGAAAATTGTATATTTACAATTAAATTAGTTTTTACTGTGACATTTGAGAGAAAAAATCATATATTTATGTCACATTTGAATTGAAAAAATGGAAATTTATTTAACTTTATGAGAAAATTATTATAAATAGTTGATATTAATTTCGATTGGTTGGACAAAATCATCTTTGCAGTATGTGTAAATTCTATATATATTACAAGTTAAAATTATGATACTTATAACTATTTATTATTATGTATTACGATATTATTAAGATGAATTTGTCTCCTTATTCTTCTCAAATTACTAAGTTCCTGAAGAATTATGTGTAAAAATATTAATATAGTTCCTAAAGAACTAATACATATTTTTCTTTATGGGCAGATAAAGAATTAATGGTAAAAAAAAATGATCCATTGATCTATATTAGAACTTCAGTTTCGAAAGAGTATGAAAAGTAATAGCCTAATCGAATTAAAATCCATAATTATATATGAACTAGGAAGTACTTGGACTTCCAAGTGATAGAGGTTATTAGCCTATTATATGCTAGTTACTGTTTTTGAAATACATGAATAAGGAAAACATGTTTTTATGACTCACACTTGAAGGGGAGACCGTTGAAATACAAGTGTGAGTTGATGTTGGATAGAGTTTTACTTGAAACTTGTTACATTAAACCAGAAGTTTACTCGCCTAATTAATGTATAGTTGGGGTGGCTTGTCTGATTATCATAAATAATATATATGATGTAACAAATTATTGATGATTCTGTATCGACATTCATTGAAGAACTAGAAGATTCTTCATGAATAGCCAACATATTATATGATTCAAGAATTCATATGCTGCTTATTCTCAATAAAAATTGATTACATTGATATCACTAGTTATGATGTAAAATGGATCTCTACATTTCTGGAAATATATCAAATTCAGATATATGGGCCCATACCAATAGCATGTAAACCATACAAGTATTTAATAAATTTGATAGATGCATCTATAAGATGGTTACATGTATTATTATTAATTTGCAACCTGAAATTTGCAAAATTATTTGAGTAATCATAATGTTGAGTGCACAAGTTCCAGACTATGAGATTCAGAAAATTTCTATTGAAAAAGATTGTGAATTTATATCCCAGAATTTCAGTGATCAACATGCATTTGTTAGAAAAATAATTGAAAAGTCTACTTAACAGAATGATCTGGCAGAATTATTAGCCTCCATGAATGGCTAGATCAATACTTTTGAGAACAAGATCTTCATCTCAAGGTTGGCTTGTTTAGTTTGATATGTTGCAACATTTATGCAAATCAAGCCAGCCAATAAAATTCTCCTAATGAAATTGGCTTTTGGTTAGGAGCCAAATACTTTCCATCTTAAAAGTTTAAATGTGCAATGCTTATGTCTATTGATCCACCACAATATACATATAGATGGATATAAAAAATTGGAATGAATGTTGGGTAAGAATCTCCTTCTTTTTGTTTGTATCTAAAAGAAACAAAAGAGATGTTTCTAAAAGAAGCAAATGAATTGAGGAGACTCATACTACATGCTTAATTGATTATCATTCGACAAAATTTTCCCAACATGAGGGGGAGAAATTGAGTAGCTGGAAAAGATAACATATAGAATGCATTATTATTATCAAGTATAGATCCTCAGATATATCATAGTATGAACTAGAAGTTCATCAAAGAATGCATCCATGAGATATTACAAAATATGTGCCACATGCTATTATTGACCTAAGTGAGTATTACTAAATCTCATATTCCAGCTGAAAATGCTCCAATTAGTATAAATAAAAGTGAGACATGCCTGAAGCATGAGAGAATAATCGGTTCCAATATAATTATATTGAACAAAAAGGAGCATGAAATTTAAAAGTTATATTAAGGAGGCATGTGCTCTAGAAGAGTACTAAGACATGACTAGTTGAAAAAAAAAAAGCCCCAGAAGAGGTTCAGGTACCTGAAAAGTAATGAAGAGATCTCAATAAGTTATGTCACAAGAGGAAAAATGGAACCAAAAAGATAAAGTTGTTGACAACATTTTTTATAATAATATCAGGTGATTTTAAAGAGGATCTTATATGAAAATAGAAATTTGGCCAAAAGCAAAAGGAAAAGAGAAAAGATGCAATGGAAACATAATTATTATTTTAATATGTGAAAATTATGGACCTGCAGTCTAAACACATCAAATACGAAGTTATTATGTGACATATGAATATTTTTGTGAAAATAAAGAATTTCACAAAGGTCCAGTAATTATGATTAGGCATAATATTTTGTGATGGATGCAATAATTTTTGCATATATTACTAGTTTGGCAGTATATGAAAAATGAAATATGCGTCTGTTAGATATCGTTATAGCCTATACATGTGGCTCATTAAATAATGAAGTTTACATGAGAATTCTTGAGGGATTTAAAATGCCAGAAGCATTTATAGAAGAAAATCATCCAATGCTTAAAATATTATGCTGAATAAGATAATCTGAGTATACATATCTGGCTTAGAAAAATGTATTAGAAAATAAATAATTTCGTATTTTACTTGAACCGTAGATCAAGTTATTGAATGCATCAATGATTGCAAAATGATTGATTTTGTTATGATATTGATAATTTTGTTTGCAAAATATATTCAACTAAATATATTAGAAGTCTCATATATTTATTCTATAATAATATTTATATATATTGTCAATATTATGGTAAAGATAAGTTTCTGCAGGTATGCATGTGAATAACGAAACTGAGATTGGATATGCAGTTCTATGAAACTATTACATGATATCATTCAAATTAAATTAATTATGTCGATACAAGATATATTATAGTATTTTTCAAAATAAACTTTCTTTGCAATTTTCTCAGTGCAAGTAAAGAATATATTGATAATTCCACATATCTAGAAGATATGTTAGAGGAATACATTTCAATATGATTTGATGATGACGTACTATGTATAGTTCAGCTAAAAAGAAGATATGCTTGAAAAAGCATTAGACAACTTGAGAAATTAGTATACTCTATTATGATAAAATGATAGAGAGTGATGCTGTTGACAGGGGGAGTAAAAGTGATGTTGTCATTAGGGGGAGTAAAGATCATGTTGTACTCTTTTCCTTAGCCAAGATTTTGTCCCACGGGGTTTTTCTGTTAAGGTTTTTTTTTACGAATCAGCTTTAATGTATATTGTGTACTCTTTTTCCTTCACTAGGATTTTGTCCCATTGGGTTTTTCCTAGTAAGGTTTTAATGAGGCATAATATTTGTTTATGAACATCCAAGGGGGAGTGTTGTAAACATTGTGTTGTGTGGATGTTCATAGCTCCTTAGTCCCTTGGGATTCTTTCTCATGGTTAATGGCATTATACCTTATAACTCCTAAATTGAAGGGTTTCAAGTATTGATTTCCTATAACCTCCAATTGTACAATTATGTTGCTTAATTCCTTTCTTTATGTACTTGTAACTCTTTAGGTTAGTATTTAATATTGGGGTCCTATAAATAGGAGATGATGTACACACATTTGAGACAATGAAGTGAATGAGAACTCCCCCTTAATTTCTCCTCCAATGTCCTCTTATTTTCTCCATCTCCCTCATTTCAATCTTTATACTTTTTGTCATTTTTCATAACAGGGAGAGAGTTTTTACTGAATTTTTTTAACGTTTTGTTTTAGACTAATTAAGTTTCGCACTACAAACAATGTGAGATATTATTATTGGTCAAAATGAAAATTCCATCAGTAACACGTGGGAGCTACTTTTCTCTGGACCTTTTTCACCTTCTCCGATACGAAACTGGTTTAAGAAGGCGTCCAAGAAGCCTCGACTTTTCAAAAACACCTCCACAAATTGACTTTGTTTATATTTATGTACTGTAATAAGTTATCTCACATCTGACTAAAATTATCTGACCATATCCTTTTATTTCTTTGCACATTGAGAACCAGAGTAAACAAAAGCAGGGCTAAACTCTGAGAGTAAACACAAACAAGAATGGTATATCATGGCACTGTAACCAAACAGTACCACATTCCTCGTTTCACCTTGGTCAGATGATACTAATTGTTATACTGCATATCTGTGTTACTGAAAATTCATCCATTTTAAGTATTGAACCAAACAGGCCTTAAGGTTCATTCACTTAACGGGTTACCTTTTCACAACAATCAGTGGCTGTTTCCATGAGGAGATTTTCCCTGTATCAAACGGAAACTTAATACGCATGTTATGAGTGATCAGATAATTTGTGTCTATATAAATATACATATATATATATAATGAGATATTGTATTTAGCTTATCGTATCGGTATGAGTTAGTTAATCTTGTTTTCATTTGTTTTCTCCATGTATTCTTACTGAGCTTATAGCCCCCTTCCTCACCAAGAGGTTAGAAAAATAATAATAATAACAAACCACTAAGCTTCTTTTAACTTTCTTTCTCAGCTACTATCAGGCTATGCAAATCTCATGATTCCCTCCATTGTTTATGCAATAAAAGAGACCATAAGTTAAGTCTTGGCATTCATTCGCCCAACAGAGTTAGTTTTTCAGAATTCTCATTTTTCTCATGTCAAATTACAGAACTTGGCGGCTTAAGGCCAAAGTGCTATATTTTGTTCTATATACTTCTTTTTCATGATCTCCCATCAATATGCTTAGTCCTCTCAGTTAATTAGCTCTCTACTGGCAATTTGCCAGAACTACAGATGAAATGTGAAACCAAAAAAAAAAAGAATCTCAATTCTCATTTCCAGCAGAAAAGACTACATAAAAGATTATAAATAAAAACAGAGTTCATCTCAATTTAGTGTGTGTGCAGAATGGGGTCTGCTGGAGAAATGCTTGATTGTGATGAGTCAGTGAAAAAGCCATCACTTAAAGGTAAGGTACGATTGATCCTCGAAGCACTAGCACTTGATGAAGAGTTTGAAAATATAAAGTCACTGATTCCAACAGAATCATTTGGAAGAGCAGGCTTCTGGGATGGCAGATTGGGTAAAGCAGCTTCAAAATTAAGCACCTGAACTACTTGTCTCATAGGAGGCCTTTGAATATGATCCGGATGAGCACACCATAATCCCACCATCATCAACCTCTGCATTTCCTGCTCACTGAAGTCTCCACACAATCTCTGATCAGCTGCTTCAAGAACACTTTCTCCGCTATGGAGTTCCCAAACCCAGTCCACAAGTAAAACCCGTTCTTCATTGGCACTAAATTGGATTGCTTTTCTCCCGCAAGCAATTTCCAAAGCGACGACTCCAAAACCATACACATCAGTCTCTCTACTGGCCTTTCCTTTGGAGATGTATTCGGGAGCCATATATCCGAAGGTTCCTGCTAGATCTGTTGTTTTATACCCTTTTGCATGGTCCACCAGTCTAGCCAACCCAAAATCTCCGAGTTTTGCGTTGAATTTTGGATCTAACATAACATTGCTTGCTTTTATGTCCCTATGAACCACACATTGTTCACACTCTTCATGGAGGTAATATAATGCTAAGGCCAGGCCTTGAGCTATGTTGTATCTTTGTTCCCATGTCAAGAGACTTTTGCCTTTGAAGAGATGAGAATCTAAGCTTCCGTTTTGCATGAACTCGTAAACCAGCATTAAGTCATTGTGCTCATGGCACCAACCGATCAGTCGAACCAGATTCTTATGCCTCAGTTGGCTGATGATCTTGACCTCTGATGCATACTCCTTCACCCCTTGCTTAGATCCTTGTGATATCCTTTTAATAGCAGCATAGCTATTCAATTCTTCTATGAACCCTTTGTAAACCCCACCAAATCCTCCCTCTCCAAGCTTATTCTCTTGTGTAAAGTTGTCTGTTGCTTTGACAAGCTGATTATATGGAAACTTATTCGGCCCTATCATTCTCTGAAACTCATCTTCCATGCTTATTAGCTCAAAGCCAAAAGCACCAATTCTTCTTCCTCTTCGTCTTCTCCAAATCATAAAGAAAAATAACCCCATTCCACAAATTAAAACACCTCCTCCTATGCTCAATGCTTTTATAAGTCCTATCTTGCTCTGATTGTTCTGATCTTCCATGTCTAAACATGTACTGAAGGACCAAGAGCAAAGAGTATGGATCTCATCACGGAAATAACCTGTTCCAGAAGAGAATCCAAACTCAACCCACTCTGGAAGAACAAAAGCCAAATTGACAATATGAAAGAAATTCTGTTCAATTCTGGAGCCGTTCTCATATCCAATAAAACTAACACTCAAATTGAAAGAACCTGAATCGTACTTAATCACGGCATCATATTTTCTTCCATCCTTGACAGTGAACCACTTTTTAGTGTAAGTTCGGTTCAGAGAATTAATATCAATCCCCACATGATCATAAGGAGGATCCAAATCAGGATTTGGGAAGGTGTCAAACTCCACAGCCACAAAAGGATGCTGCTTTCTGTAATTTGGATCTTTCAATTGCAGACGACTCACGAGGCCAATTCCGGCTCCATCTCTAGGATCAGGAAGGGGAAAGCCTGGTGCGGCAAGGAAGAAGGTTATGCCATCTCCAAGATTGGTGGTCTTGCCTTGTGTATTGATGATGAAGGAGAAATGGGAAGAAAAATCTGTGACTTTTCCGGTCATCTCATCCCAAAGATGGAGATTTTCGCCGTAGGTGACTCTCCCAACGCTGTTTTGCTCTAACTCAGTGAGGTTCAGGCATCCATTTTCACAGTGAACACCTCCTTCAAGTTTTAATGTTGGATCATCCTTCTTGAATTGCTCGTAGTTGAAGGAAAGTGAAGAAACAGAAGGGTATGTGAGAAAGAATAACAGTATTATGGTGGTAATGAGTTCCAAACAAGGAAGATAATTGGGAGGAGGATTGTTAATGTATTGGCTAGCTGCCATGGTTCAGGAGGCTAATAGTGCTCTTTTGTTTTCCCCACTCTCTTCAAATGGCTTGGAAATGGGAAGAGTCGCAGAAGATAATTTGAGATTGAATTTTATATCAGGGAAGTGACCAGGTGGGTGCATGAAAGAGAATTTGAGTGTGCATCTTACGTGTTATATTGGAAGAGAAACAAAAATTCAATTGGTTGGAGCTTCAAAAACGTATTTACGTTAATTGGATTAAAATGGAGGAGTTGCTTATATAAATTGCTCATATCTTTTTTTTAAAATAAATTTATTGAATTAACCCATTTTTTATTCCTTTCTTGATAAATTGCTCATATCTGCATGTGTTTAATATATTTTTTAGGGATAATTAATCTGTAAGTCCCTATAGTTTTAGCCGATTTTGAATCAAGTCCCTATAGTTTTATTTCTTTTTATTGGATCCTTATACTTTCATATCTTTTTAATTAGGTCCTTGTATTTATTTTTCTTTTTATGAAGTCCTTATAAGTTCACCTCATTTTTAATTAAGTCTCTGAATTTTTTACTCTTTATTTTATAAATTCTAATAATACTATTCTATAATCATAAAATAGTATATATTATTTAATATTAGTTTATAAACAATAATATTCTAAAAATAATGAATTATTATAATAATTTTATTTTTTGCCAGCAAGAAAATATTATTTGTTCTAAAAAATTTATCTGAATTAATTAATTATATTACTTATATTAATTTAACTTAATTATTAATATTTTATATTTCAATAATCTAATTAATTAAGTTTATATTTAACTAATAAATAAAAATTAAAACAACATGGACCTTATTAAGAATTTAGGGAAATTATAAGGACTTTATAAAAAGAAAAATAAATGCAAGGACCTAATTAAAAACATGTGAAAGAATAAGGGCCTAATAAAAAGAAAAAAAATTATAAGGACCTGATTCAAAATTGGTTGAAACTATAAGGACTTACAGATTAATTAACCCTATTTTTTATAAAGCCAATTAATATTTTTATAAATAATTTTGTAGTACTAGAAAAACTGGTTTAAAGAAATCAAATCAGCCATATAGATAGGATTGGAGAATACTGCCTCCCCTTACGCTGTGTTTGGCTCGATGGAGGGAAGGGGAGGGGAGGGATTTTAATCAAGGGAAGGGGAGGGGAGGAAAGGGGAGGGGAGCTACAAAGGGGAGGGGAGGGAGGGGGAAGGGAGGGGAGGGATTTTAATGATCTCCTGTTTGGATTGATTGGAGGGGAGGGGAGGGAGTAATTTTAATAATACCTTATTTTGTTCTAATAAAAAATTGACTATTTTAGCCTCATAAAATTTAAATGAATTTTCTCACTTTTTTTATTTTGTTAAGATATAACTATATATATAATATAATTCACCAATTTTGATTTACAAGACATAGTCACACACTGATAGAATATCAAGATAAAAAGTCACGAGTGATAGATTTCAATCAGAGAAAAGACCTTGAAAGTGAAAGAAAATACCAACAACCTCTTGGAATTAGAAGAAGAGAAAAAAAAGTTTACAAATGCTCACTAATTTTGGAGACAATTATCTTAATAACCTCTTGTTAGATGTTCAAAAAAACTCTCTTATGTAGAAATGTTTACGACTGATTAGAGGTTAACAAATCAAAAGGGTATATAAGGAATTGAAATATTATCTCTCATCTCCCCTCCAAAAAACCCCACTTTTGGAGGGGAGGCTAGAAGGGAAGGGGAGGGGAGAAGAATCCCTCCCCTCTTTAAAAAACATCTTAACCAAACGAGGGAAGGGGAGGGGCTCCCCTCCCCTCCTAAAAAATTACACCAGCCAAACAAGGGGAGGGGAGCAACTCCCCTCCCCTCCCCTCCAAAAATCCCGTACCAAACATAGCGTTATAGTATTCGCTAATCCCACATATATAGGTTTGTCTAATATCAAGTATCATACAATTATTCATATTAATTAAACACACTTTTATTATAGTTTTACACTTTTAATCTCAATTCTTATCTCTCATTTTTAATGTTTTACACTAAACGGGATCTTAAAGAGATACTCTTTCAATTATAAATATAAGACTTCTTTTATAACATAAATTACATTATAAAAAGAATTTTATATTTAGTAGGGAGGAATACTTTAGAGTGAGAAGACTGTGAAACCAAGACTCAAGTTTTGCTTTTCAGCCCCAAACTGCGGTCAAATATGAAGGTTTGACTACAATGTCCCGATTATTACTAGTATACCAAGCTACTATTAAATTGAGATGACTGGTTCAAAAAGTTAGCTATTACTTGGATTGAGTCATAGACTTAGTAGAGGTTATTAAAAGTGCATGTTTAATATATATGCCCCGCATATGCGTTTGTCATCTTTCTTTTCAGAAGAGGTTTTGAAGATGAACTTGGACGGAGAATACAAAGCGGCGGCCATGTATTTTGTACGTAGGATTGAATTTTATGGGAGGGGAGTAAGAACAAGGCTTTAAAATTATACTTGGTATGAGTAATATTTGGGCAAATGTTTATATTAATTTTATTTTATAATTAAATTATACGAAGACTTATATACTCATAAAATAAATTAAAATAGGAGTTTGTGAAATATTATATAAGATACTTTAGTAAAAATAATTTTCAATACTACTAATGATTTTCCAATACCATAAGAAGTGGTGGTATTGTGCAATATTTTTCCGATCCTTAATACAAGACCTATTTAACTAAGTTGATTATATTAAGAAAGTTAGGTAAGTTAGTTAATTATAAGAAATGTGACACATTTTTTTTAAAACACCATAATCATCTTTCTTAATATCTCATTTCCCTCTTTTACTTGATTATGGTTAAAGGAGTATCTATATGGGTAATTTAGAAAAAATTGATAAATATGATAATTGAGTCTTATATTTAAGATCAAAACCAACTCAACAATTAGGTCCAATGTTAAGGATTGAAGGAATATCAAATATCAATCATCCCAAAATTAGGAGTTAAGGGAAAATAATACGTGTCTTCGTTTTGCCCATTTTACCCCTAATCTCATGCAATCAAGTATGATTAATCATAAAGGCGGCACTTAAGCTCTCTTCAACATAACAAAATCCCCAGACAAGATGCAAAATTTCATGATAAAATAGGGATTTGTCAACTGGAGAGAGTCTTCCCTAGCTTTTATGAATGAAAATGGGTTCTCAGGAAAATTCTTTTCCGCCTGCCAAACAAGTCAAGCCAAATTCCATTAGCAGATTTTCCGCGTATCAAACGGAACCTTAATACGCAAACTATGAGTGATCAAATAATGTGTCTATATATATATAAATACTCCTTCGGTCCTTAATAAAAGACTCATTTAACTAATTTAATTAGATTAAGGAAGTTAGATAAGTTTGTTAATTATAAGAAAAATGACACATTTTTCCTAAAATATTATAATCATCTTTTTTAATACCCCCTCTCCTCCTTCTATTTGATTATGGTTAAGGGAGTATCCATAGAGGTAATTTAGAGAAAATTGATAAATATAATAGATGGGTCTTATATTTAGGATCAAAACTAACTCCATATTGGGTTCTATATTAAAGACCGGAGGAGTATATATTTACTTCCTTTTCTATCTGTTGCCTTTTTTTTTCCCCCTTTCTTTCTCTCATTTTTAAATGACTTCGACTTTGCAATAGGGTCAATGCGTCTCAAGCAACGATTCTCAAAATGCGTTCATCATATCCTTTGAAATATTCAAAAGCCATTTTTTCACTCTAGTTATACATAATGTATTGACTTGGGACCCTAAATGGTTTGCTTTTTTAGTATTCATTTTAAGGCTAACGTAATTAGTTTTGTTTTTGAAAGAAAGTCAGTAAAAAGTCTCAATTTGAAAATTTTATTGATCAAAATGACTTAATTTTGAATACCAATATTTTCAAAATATGAAATCTTATAAAGTACCATTTCCATGTCCCATTCCATGGTACTCGTTCGGTTCTAAGTATAAAATCCTTTTACATACTATAAAAAAAAAATCTTATATTTAGAACTGAAAGAATATATATATTTTGTGCAATCCTACATTTATCCTGTCCTGATATGGCCAGGTTTGGATTGCCAGAATAAAACAATTTGAACATCGATACTGTCGTTATATGAAGACATATCATATTGTGTCATCAAAAAATATAAATATCATATTGTCCTTGCCTATAAAATTTTAAAATAGTGAGTTTTTACTGAATTTTTAATGTTTTGTTTTAAACTAATTAAGTTTCGCACTACAAACAATGTGAGAAATTATTATTTTTCAAAATGAAAATTCCAACAGCAACAGGTGGGAACAAGCTCCTTTTCTCTAAACCTTTCTCACCTTCGCTGATACGGACCTGGTTAAGAAGGCGTCCAAGAAGCTTCGACTTTTCAAAAACACTTCTACAAATTGATTTTATTTATATTTATGTACTGTAGTAAGTTACTCCTCGACCTAATTGTTAAATTAATTTTGCTTATAAATATAAGAGCTATTTCTCATATTTATTAATTTTTCCTAAATTACTCTTATGGATACTCCCTCAACTATAATCAAATAAAAGAAGGAGAGAGGATATTAAGAAAGATCATTATAGTGTTTTAGAAAAAATATGTCATATTTTTTATAATTAACTAACTTACCTAACTTCTTTAACCTAATCAAATTAGTTAAATAGGTTTTATATTAAGGACCGGAGGAGTATCTTACAATCCGACTAAAATTATGTGACCATATTCTTTGATTTGTTTACACATTGAGAACCAGAGTAACCAAAAACAGGGCTAAATTTGGAGAGTTAACACAAAAACAAGAATATTATATCACCACATTCCTCAGATGATACTAATTGTTATACTGCATACCTGTGGTACTGAAAATACATCCATTTTAAGAATTGAACCAAACAGGCCTTAAGGTTCATTCACTTAACGGGTTACTTTTTCACAACAATCAGTGGCCGTTTCCATTGAGATGGAATGTTGGGGACAAAAAACAAAATTACAACTGAATTTTCATTTCAAGTTCAATATATTAAATGCAAAAAGCAATACAGCTCAGACTCCCAATTTAGCAGGTATGCAGAAGGGAAGCTGATGGTGAAATGACTTGAGATGATGTGCTTGATTGTGATGAGCCAGTGAAAAGGCCATCACTTACAGTTACAGGCAATGAGATATGGTTAATCCTAGAAGCATTACTAATTCCTGAGGAAGAAAATCTTGCAGATGTAAAGTCACTGACATTAACAGGTTTGTATGAAACTGCAGGCTTCTGTAACTGTAGATCAGGCAAAGAAGCTTCAAAATTAAGAACTTGAACCACTTGTCTTATTGTAGGCCTTTGAATATGATCTGGATGAGCACACCATAGTCCAGTCATTATTAATCTCAGCATTTCTTGCTCATTGAAGTCCCCACATAATCTTTGATCAGTTGCCTCAAGAACACTTTTTCTGCTATGCAGTTCCCAAACCCAGTCCACAAGTAAAACCTGTTCTTCATTGGCATTTTGTTCTATTGATTTTCTACCGCATGCTATTTCCAAAGCCACGAGTCCAAAACTGTAAACATCAGTCTCTCTACTTGCCTTTCCTTTAGCAGCATATTCAGGAGCCATGTATCCGAAAGTTCCTGCTAGGATGGTTGTTTTTGACCCTTTTCCGTGGTCCACAAGTCTGGCCAACCCGAAATCTCCAAGCTTTGCATTGAAGTTTGAGTCTAACATGACATTGCTGGCTTTTATATCCCTATGAACCACGCATTGTTCCCACTCTTCGTGCAAATATAGTAATGCTGAGGCTAGACCTTGAGCAATGTTATATCTTTGTCCCCATGCCAGGAGACTTTTGCCTTTGAAGAGATGAGAATCTAAGCTTCCATTTTGCATGAACTCATAAACTAGAATTAAATCATTGTACTCATGGCACCACCCAATTAGCCAAACCAGATTCTTATGCCTCAATTGACTGATAATCTTTACCTCTGATGCATACTCCTTAACCCCTTGTTTAGATCCTTGTGATATCTTCTTAATAGCAACATAGCTATTCAATTCTTCAACAAACCCTTTGTATACCCCACCAAATCCTCCCTCTCCAAGCTTATTTTCTTTTGCAAACTTGTATGTTGCTTTAACAAGTTGCTTGTATGGAAACTTCTTAGGCCCTGTGCTGTTCTGAAACTCAATCTCCATGCTTAGCTCAAAGTCAAAACCATCCATGCTTCTCCTTCTTTCTCTTCTTCTCCTTCTTCTTCTGATATTCCAAGTCATAAGACAAATAGTTAACCCTATTCCACAGATTAATAAAACACCTCCTCCTATGCTCAATCCTGCTATTAGTCCCTTCTTGCTCTTACTGTTCTGAGTATTATTCTCATTGTTCTGATCTTGCATGTCCAAACTTGAATTGAAGGACCAAGAGCAAAGTGTATGGATCTCAAAGTAATCCCCAGTTGCAGAAGAGAATCCAAACTCAACCCACTCTGGAAGAACATCAGTCAGATTCACAATTCCATTGTAACTCTGTTCAACCTTGGTGTTGTTATTCTGATAACCATCAAAACTCACAGTCAAATTGAATGAACTTGAATTGTAACTGATAACAGCATCATAAATTCTTCCATCTTTAACACTGAACCACGGTGTAGTATAAGCTGTGCTTATAGACTTAACATCAATCCCCACATGATCATATGGAGGATCCCAATCATTTTTCATGGTATCAAACTCCACAGCCACAAAAGGATTCAGGTCTGTATAGTTTTGATCTTTCAACTGATAACGACTCACAAGGCCGATCCCTGAGCCATCTCTGGGAACAGGAAGAGGAAAGTTTGGTGCTGCAAGGAAGAAGGTGATTCCATCTCCAAGATTGAAGGTTTTGTTTGGTGAATTGATGATGAAAGAGAAATGGGAAGAAAAATCTGTGACTTTTCCTGTTGTTTTGTCCCACAGATGGAGATTTTTGTAGTAAATGACTCTACCAAGACTGTCTCTTTCAAACCTTGTGAGCTGCAGAGATCCATTATCATGGTAAACATCTCCCTCCAATTTTAAGGTTGGATCATTCTGCTTGAACTGGTCGTAGCTGAAGGAAAGTGAAGAGAGAGTAGAAGGGCATGTAAGAAAGAATAATAGCGTTATGGGGGTAATGAATTGCAGAGAAGGAAGAAGAAGAAGAAGATGATGATGATGAGAATGAGGCTTGTTACAGTATTGGCTAGCTGCCATAGCTGAGGAGGCTGAGAAATTTTAAAATGGCGTGGAAGAGTAATATTGGAGGAGAATTTTAGGTTGAGTGGTTTATTAAGGAACGAGGCTTTCTGTTGCAACTCAAGGTCGTTCTGAGAAAAATTGGGACTTTTTGGGTGAAAAGTTTATCTTATTCTCTTTTGCATACACTTGTCAGAATACCAAAGGCAGGTAAATTTGACTTTGACACATAATTAACGTCACGATCAAGAAAATACCTCCGTGTTATCCCATGAAAAAGAAATAATTTTTTAAGCAAGCAACCTTTTTACGTGGAATTTCTTTGAGTCAAAATAATACAAAATTCTCATCTGAAGTGAAATTACATAATTTCTAATGAATTCGTTGGAATTATAAACAAACAGTTGGAAAAAAAACTTATATTATATAGTTAAGCAAATAGCCATTACATAGTACTAACACGACAATATTTCAACTAAATTCTGTTTCTGCTGGGCCTGAGCCAAACTTTGATGTACAGTACTTATGGTATTCTTCACCAGATATCGTTCAACCTCTTCAAATGTGACCATAGTATGCTGGGTTCTTCTGTGAAGATTCCCGATTCCATTTTGTCTGTAAAGTATTCAAAACTGTCCCCGATTTGTTGTATTTTTGTTCCTAAACGGCACAGATGTCTTGTTCAGTATTCCTTCCATTCTATAACTTTCCAGCCGAAAGAAAGATTTCTAACGTTATTTGATGTACTGATACAAAACCACCTGTTTGCTGATATAAATGTTCAGTCATTCAATACAATGAAACTTGTAGTGGAATACTTGATTGAGATTTTTCTATTCTGGAAAAAAGTTGATTAATGCTACACAAAATATTCAAGACAGATTAATTGGTTAACATTTCTGCACATTTGCATGGTTTGTGCTACTTTCAGTGGCTTCATTTATATTACACATTAATTGCAAGAGAATGTCTTCATAAGAATTAACTAGTTCTGCATTCAACAACATTCCAATAGAAGCACAGATATTGATAGCGTAAAGTTTCTCACTTTAGGAAGATGACTTATTCCTATGCCCAAAAAAAAAAAAGAAAAAAAGAAGATGACGTATTCCTGTGAAAGATTTCCCCCCACATAGAATCCCATTTTCTTAGTAGTACGGAGTTACTCGAATAAACTGATTCACCTATAGAGACTCTCTATAGGAAGACCTATTTTACTGTAGGAAACTTTATTCTGTCCAATGCTTCTTTCAAAATCATTGTCTCAGAAAAGATCTAAACATCTTTCTTGGCTCTTTTATTCAGCTTCAATCTCGTAACCCAAGATTAGGAGAGCCCACAAATTACTATATATATATATAATCCAATGATTAACTCTGTCTTGTTTCCTCTAGGATTAACTCTGTCTTGTTTCCTCTAGTTTTCTCCCAACAGACTTGAATCAAAAGACCATGCGCATAGTGTATGTATCTCCCAGAGAAGTCCTGTGGCTGAAGAGAAACCAAACTGAACCTGATCTGGCAGGATCTCTCTCAAATTAATCCCATGGGAATAATCTTGTTGAACTCTCATATCATCCTTATATCCAGTAAAGAACACATTTAACTGATACGAGCTGGAATTGTAGGTAATCTCAGCATCATACTTTCTGCCATCTTTAATACTGAACCATTCTGTTGTGTAGGGAGTCCACATTTTGTTTATATCAACACCAACATGATCATAAGGCGGATCATCATCATTTGGAAGGGTATCAAATTCCACTGCTACAAATGGATGCTCCAGTGTGTAATTTGGATCATCCATTACTTGTTTACGACCCACAAGGCCAATCCCAGACCCATCTGGTGGCACTGGAAGTGAGAAGTTGGGGTGTGCTAGGAAGAATGTGATTCCATCTCCTCGATGATTTATATCTGGTGAATCAATGATGAAGGTGAAACGGGTAGTGAAATCTGCAATTTTTCCTGTCTCCTTGTCCCAGAGTTGCAACAATTTGCTGTATGTTACTCTCCCAGCACTGTCTTTTCTATATCTGAGTCACATAGTCCAAGTGTTAGAGATTTGGCAAATTTAGGACTAAATTTGACAGTTTTTTTTTTTTTTTTTTTTTGAGTTTTGCTAAAACTAAATGAACATTTCTTTTGAATCAATACAGATGTCTTTGTCATATATATTGGGTTATACCGATTCCATCTTGATGGATTAGAGCCTAAACCCAATATAACTGGGGCACAAAGGAGAACAAGGAAAACCATGAATAGACTTGTGATATATAAACCATTAAAGAAGTCTCTTTTACACATACATGCTTGGGTGGCTGAGAATGGATGGAAAAACAGTTTTCTTCTCAAACTGGAAATTCTCTTCTCTTCCTCTCACGTGCATTTGCTGTGTGGCATAAACGAAGTCCGATTATGTGATTCCCTTTTGTTTGGCCAAATCAGATTACTGCATCAGATTCCAGGTAAGCCTGAATCATTCAATATATTTCCTTTTGATCCTAATTGAAATTATTCTAATGTCTCTTTTACTTTCAATTGGAGCTTGAATATTTGAAAAATAGAGGAGAAAGTTTTTTAACTCCTAAGTAAAAAATTAGGTGTAACCTACTCTGTTTTTTTTTTCAAATGGCTTGAAAATGTAGCAAAAGTTTGTGTAATTTCATTGAAATATTGGAGAAGCATGCGTAATTTATTACAGATTTATTCATATTTCATCATTTTTTTTTTATTAAACTTAATCGAAGTGATTACTGACATATTGATTGTTAGAATTCCATTCCTTTGTTCTTCCTCTGCTTTTTTTAATTAAAATGAAGTGAAATTTAAGAACAAAGTTGAGCCATAAAATCAGATCAGTGAGCAGTAGATCCTAAAAGAATATAACATCAAAGCACATTTAAACTATGTATGATTTAATCATGTATGAGATATATAAGAATATTTCATTAAAACCTTTCTGACATAAGAGTGACATAAGAGAGACAGAGAAAATATTTCACCATAATCTTGAAGATGATTTTTTTTTTTGGCCATCACTTCAAGATGAATAATTTACTCCTTTCTAACAATTTATTAATCTTTCACTACCCATCATTATCACCCTTTCCTAACTAATAACTACTTGAGAAGTGCTCTTTATTGGTCTTTCACTGACTCAAGTGACCTGATCTTTCACCAAATGTTCAAAAATTAGACTCACTGTATTATGAATCAATGACAAGAAATTAAACCAGGTAATCTCAGTACTAATACCAATCATATGTTACTAAATTCTAAACCAGAAATGATAAATTATTAAAAATTAAATAATAATAATACCTGGTGAGTTGGAGGACCTCATCTTGCTGATAAACATCTCCATCAAACGTCAAGTCCTCATAACTCGTCTCAAGAAACTGCTGATAGTCGAAGCGTATAGAGGAAGCAGCAGCAGGAATTATCAGAAGCAGGAATACTTTGGTTATGACTAAACCAGGAAGGATATGAGTTCTCTTCCTGTATTGAGACGCCTCCATGGTTAATATGAGACGTTGAGTTTGTGGATGGATCAACTTGCTTTATATGAAGTTCTTAATGATTGAGACGCACTGTTTTATGTTGGAATTTGGAAAGCAGTAATAGGAATTCTTTTCATCATTTTTTTTTATTTGATGAATTTGAAAAGTATTGATGAATGAGCTCAATCATTAAGCCTTTTTTCAACTCTCTGCTTTTGATTTCCACTCTTGTGCCTAATTTGGTCCCAGGTTGAGACAAAGGATGAAAGAGAATAAAGAAAAAGAGAGTCCAAAATATAGGTACTCTTATGTAGAAGTGGGAATCAAGGCCAGCCCAGCCTTTTTAAACCCTTTTATAATTTTTTTTGTTTTTTAAATTTTTTATATAATTCTAATGTTATTAATTTTTTACATTATTAATAATATTTCAAATATTTAGTTATTATTATCATTTTAAAATTAAATTTAATGTTAGACAATACTTTATCCAATTAAATTTTTAAAAAATGGGTTAATTTGGACTTTAGTAATGATTTGATTTATATTATATGCGTTGATATTTTTAAACTAGATATATTCTTTAATCAAAAAGAGTATTATTAACAAGACTTTTATTTAAAAAAAAAAAAAACTCCTCCGGCCCTTAATACAAGACCCATTTAATTAATTTGATTAGATTAAAAAAGTTAGTTAAGTTAGTTAATTATAAGAAATGTGACATGTTTTTTCTAAAATACCATAATTATTTTTCTTAATACTCCTTCTTCCTCTTTTACTTGATTATAGTTGAGGGAGTATTCATAGGGGTAATTTAGAGAAAATTGATAGATAAAAGAAATGAGTCTTATATTGAGGATTAAAACTAACTCAGTAATTGGGTCCTATATTAAGGACCGGAAGAGTAGAGTCGGGAAAATGGGCCGAGCCCATCGGGCCGGCCCGTTTAGACTCTGAAATTATGAGGGTCAGGCTTGATATTTTTCCCTCCAAATGGGGAATAAGCCCTATTAACAAATTGGTCATCTATTGCAACATTTCTGACAAGTCCTCTTCTAATTTTGAATGATGGCACCATTATAAATATGCAATTAATTACACTTAAAATTGAGTAGTTAACTGAGAATAGATGGAGTACAATAAGTAATTATTTTCTTAATTTAATACTCAATTCAACACTAAATGTAGAAATTACAAAACTATGTTCTTGAGGTAAATAAATTAGTTAAATTAGTTTTTTTTAAAAACAGTTTGTTAGTTTCTTTAAATACTCTTTTTAATTATCTATATTGAAACTAAACTACCTCTTGATATGAAATCCAATCTATATGTGTGTGTGTGCAATTAACAGGAATAATTTTTAAAAATTATAATTTCCAGAGATATTGTGACTTGAGGTGGCATCTATGATCTATAACTAGCTTTTATAGATAAGATCGATGAATTTTACCCATAACTTAATCCTATCTCATAGCGAAAAGAGATACGCACACATATACACACCCACCACATGCCCATATTGCACAATCTCCTGTTTAAGGAGGACGAGAGTTGCTTCTTCAGTGAAGTGATTGATTGGAGTGATATTTTATCAATATATTACTCCTTCGATCTTAAATATAAGATCCTTATACACAGTAGTATAAAAGTCTTTTGTTTAGGATTGGAGGAGTATATAATAAAAAAATCTTTGTTCTTTTCAAAATAATTAAAATAGAGCCAATACAACACATCTCACCAGATTATTATGTATTTATGATGTTATACTAGTGGTTCGGAATTGGTTTTTTTGTTCAAAAGTTAGTAATGTGTTTGGTTCTTCTACTTTAAGTCCTTAACAAAATAAATGTACAATGTGTATTTGGGAAGAGGGGGGAAAAAAAGAAATTAGTGGACCCTTTTACAAGATATGACTTCATCTTTTTGCATAACTTCAGTGTTTTATGTTATTTTCCTTTTTAAATAGTATACTATCTACATTCATTTTATTAATGGGAAAAAATTTCATGAAATATGATTGGATTTAATTTGAAATGGATAATAAATTTTGGGTTTCATCAATGACCATAAAAAATGCCCAGAAAATGATCAATGAAAATGGATAATAATTGTGAGGGGGAGGAGTTGAGTTGACTGAGTCAATATTAAAAAATCAACGCCCACTTGTATTGAATGTTGACTTTCCCCCTGAAGACAAAAGCTTGCATTAATTGTGTTTGGAATCACTACATTGTCCCGTCGCTGATCATATAATTGAATTTTCAACCCCCACATTATGCATTTGTTGACCCGATTTTGTGGATTTGAAGGCATGACAGAGAAGCTGAGTATTCCCACCAAGATATTGAAAATAAAAGCTGTTTTTGAATCAGTTGAAGTAGTGATTGGAATAAACCCAATCATGATTCAAATACTATGATTTAATTAATTAGAATATACAAAAATATTTATGTATGACCAATAAAGTTTTAAAACACAAGTTGAAATTGGAGATTTATAGTTTCGAGAATCAATTCGGGTTCATGCTAGGAAGATTTACAATAGAATGATTTATTTATTAAAGGGGTTGATGAAAAAGTATCAAAGCAAAGAAAAAGGCTTGCATATGGTTTTAATTGATTTGGAAGAAAACATATGATAATGTATAAGAGACGGTCTTTGAAAAGTCCTAAAAAAAATGTTTGCATGTTGCAAATATCAAAGTCATACAGTTTACATATGAGGGGGTAACAACTAGTATAAGAATATTGGAATGTGAGGTAAATAACTTTTCTATAAAAATTAACCTAAATTATTTCATACACGAAAACAGATCCGCCATGGACCAAACAAAGAAAATCTCCTCTATAACAAATTAAACGTTTATTCTCAGTATGAATTAATAATATATCTTATTGTATTGATTCAAAAGTATTTTTTTATTATACGTCAACTAGTACTAAAGTATGCTTACTGTTCTAAGCTAGAAGGTCAGATAACTAAATACCATAAAAAGGAAATCTGACTTGAGATATAGCCTTCCAAGCAAGAAACTTGTTACTAGAGAGAAACTTCCTCGACTATTTTCCTTCCTTGATTTGTGCCTGATGTGGATGATTGTGAGGATCCAGTGTATGACCTATTACTTGATGAAGGCCTAGCTTGATAGGTTGCAGAAGAACTAGCATAAGCAGATGAAAAGTTTAAAGAACCAATATCAGGAAAAGTTGGAGCAGCGTACATTGGTTTGGGCATTGTTGGTGGGAGAGTGGGCAATGGAGCTTCAAAGTTAAGCACACGAAGTGCTTGTCTAATTGTAGGCCTCATAGTGCAATCTGGATGAGCAGACCAAAGCCCAATAATCATTAACCTTTCAACTTCTTGCTCATCAAAATCTCCATTATCAAGCCTTTTGTCAACTGCTTCAAGAAGCTCCCCTCTGCCATAGAGTTCCCACACCCATTCCACCATCATGACTCGTTCATCACTAGCATTAGGGTCAATTGGTTTTCGCCCACATGCTATTTCTAAAGCAACAACTCCAAAACTGTACATGTCAGATTCTCTTGTGGCCTTGCCCCTCGCCAAACATTCAGGAGCCATGTATCCTTTTGTTCCTGCTGCAATTGTTGATGTTAACCCTTTGCCATGTTCTACGAGTCTTGCTAATCCAAAATCTCCAAGCTTAGTGTTGAAATTTGAGTCCAACATAATATTGCTTGATTTTATGTCTCTGTGGACTACGCATTGCTCCCACTCTTCATGCAAGTAGAGCACTGCTGAGGCTAAACCTTGAGCAATATTGTATCGAGTTGGCCATGTCAAGAGGTCTTTGCTTTTAAATAAATGATAATCTAAGCTTCCATTTGGCATGAACTCATAGATGAGTAGAAGATCATTTTTCTGGTGGCACCAACCCATCAATTGCACCAAATTCTTGTGCCTTAATTGACTGATGATCTTTACTTCAGAGGCATACTCCTTTACCCCTTGTCTAGATTCTTTGGACACCTTCTTAATTGCAACAAAAGTATTTAAGCCTCTCATGAATCCTTTGTAGACACCACCAAAACCTCCTTCTCCAAGTTTGTGTTCCTCTGCAAAGTTGTTTGTGGCTCTCGCAAGTTCATTATAGGAAAACTTCTTTGGTCCAACACTTTCAAAGTCTCTGTCCAAAGAAACATCCAAGCGATCATCTTTTTTTGCCCTGCAATTTAACTTCCATATCAGGAACCAAGCTATGCATAACCCACCAACCCCTACAACCGATCCAATGCTCAATCCAATGACCAAACGCTCATTATTGCTTTTACTCTTTTGCACCACTCCTCCCCACACTTTATTAAGACTTGAATTGAAGGCCCATGAGCATAGCGTATGTAACTCAAACTGAAGTCCTGTGGCTGAGGAGAACCCAAACTGAACTTGTTCTGGTAGGTAGTCTCTCAGATCAATCTGATGGGAATAATTTTGTCTGATTTTGATGTTATTCTTATATCCTGTGAACATGACACTTAACTGCAATGAGCTAGAATTGTAGGTAATCTCAGCATCATACTTTCTACCGTCATTCATAGTGTACCATTGTGTTGTGTAAGGAGACCACATTTGTTTTACATTGATTCCCACATGATCATAAGGTGGATCTCTTGCATTAAGCATGGTGTCAAACTCGACTGCTACAAATGGATGTGCATCAGCATAAGTTGGATCTCCCATTTCTCTACGACCCACAAGACCAATACCAGTGCCATCTGGGGGCACTGGAAATGGAAAATCCGGGTGTGCCAAGAAGAATGTGATGCCATCTCCATGCCCATCATGAGTTTCATTTAGTACATTGATGATGAAGCTGAAACGGGTAATGAAGTTTACAAGTGTTCTTGTCTCTTTGTCCCCCAGTTGCAACAGGTTCTTGTACGTTACTCTCCCTGCACTGTCTTTTTTGTATCTGAGTTAAAAATCAGATTGTTAGATTCATAACAAATTTATACATTTATAGGAATTTTTTGGGTTAATGTAATCTTTAGTCCCTCAAGTTTGTCTTCATTTTGGTTTTGATACCTCAAGTTTCAAACCATAGCTTTTAGTCCCTTAAGAGGCAAAATGGTTTAAGTTTTTATTAGATTATAGGGACTAATATTAAAAAAAAAAAAGAACTCGAAAGACAAAACCTATGGTTTAAAATTTGAGAGACTAAAATCAAATTGCGAATAAACTTAAAAGACCAAAATCTGTATTAACCCGAATTTTTTTTATCATATATCTTTAACATCAGTTGAATTTTAGGGATATGAGATAACGCCAAATTATATGACTGGACGGGTGGCTGGGAAAGGATACCAAAAACTTTGAGTAAACGCACGTTTTGACCCTAAGTGGTGGTCTCTAGCAAGTCTTCGCATGCATTATCTTTTAATTAATTTGTGTGGCTTAGATTGTAATTGAGAGACCTCAGACTCCTTTCTTTAACTCTATTTCTTTGCTGTCCTTAATTAACAATTTGCTATTTTGTACCATCGACTAATCCAAATTTGTGTTTTTTTCTTAAGCATCAAATAAGGTTAGCTCTTTCCAAGTGATTTATTTTATCCGCAAGACTTGGAAATTATCCAGAGAGAATCAAGTACGTTTCACTTGATCTAACTACTATTGCTTTATCTCTATTTCTTGGCAACCATAAAGAAATAATGCATAATTGATATACAAGCTTGTCTTTATAGTAAACAGAGAAATCATAATTACAGACCTTGTGAGGACAACAATTAACATTTGAATACCTCAAATTAGTGAAACCCAATGGAAGGACCGAGATCATTGTCTAAATTTTTTCACCCAAAGACACGAGGATAGAAATGCCTTTCCCCTGCCCATATGCTGTCCTGTTGGTCACTAAGAACCTAATGGCAATGACAACTTGGTTAACGGAGATCCGCTAGCGGTGAGGTCTCTTTTTGTGTTTTTTAAAAACAAGGTCGTTAACCTATTTTCAAAGAATTTAGTTCGAGTAAAATAGGAGAAATTTCAAGTCAGGTTGGTGCTTTTTAACCTATATTTTACGCACTCCAAACTTTTTCAGTAGTTTTACTTCCAGTTCCTTACAATAATTTTGTTCAATACTGAAATAGGAGAATCTTTACTGGTTTTCTGCAAGTTTCATACAGTAGCTTTACTTTCCGTTCGAGACAGCAATTTAGTCCAAGTTTGAAATCACTTTTAAATGGAAACATATATAAAACATTTATGCACTGACTTATAAACAAGGACTCTGCGTGTATATCATAAGACAGAAGTGAAAAAAATGTTTTTAACAAATCCAACGCAAGCAGCTATAATTTACATGGACACACAAAATATCATTTAGATGAAACCATCAAAATGTAATAAAAGAAACTAGAAGCACCAGTATTGTCTCCTGATGTACAGATTACCTGGTGAGGTTGAGCATCCCATTTTCCTGGAAAGCATCTCCTTGAAGGTTCAAGTTCTGATGATCGACGTCAAGAAATTTCCCATAGTTGAAGGTTATCGAGGTGACACGAGCAGGGATTATGAGAAACAAGAAAATTTTGGTTATGAACAAACAAGGAAGCAGGTTAGTTTTCCTCCTGTGGAGAGATATCGCCATATAGCATATCACATAGAAGTGAGACTTATGTTTGGAGGTGGTTTGAGAAATAATGACTCGTATTATATAAAGAGACTGGGTTTTGTTCCGTAAAAGCATATAATTCTTTAGCCATTAATGAATCACGGAGAAAATTCTTCACTTGATCCCTATGATTTACAATAATTGATACTTTGATCTCTATAATTTTTTAATTTTCAAAACACCCTATGACCCATGTGTCTCTCACATTTTATACGTTATTCCACCTGTTCACACTTGGCTTAAAAATGGATTCCCTATGGGCCACGGAAGTAAATTCTTGTAGAAATTTGTTGATATAGCAATCAGTGACCCCATTTGGTTGACACTAACCATTTGCTAACCACATGAGGTGGGGCAAAGTATTCACACTTAACCGGTGGTACACGGTGCCTTTGCAATTTCAATTTTTAGAATTTAATTTTTCTCTTTTTTTTCCCCAAAAGAAAAAGCATGCAAAGTCTCCTCCTTTATTGTAATTAGTCTGGGTTTTGTATTAACTTCTTGTAATTTCATTCTTTAATGGAATTTTTTTCCATTTCAGAAAAGGAAAAAAAACAAAGCATGCAGAGTCATTTGGGATTGTTGACTCCTTGCACTACAAAAAAATTGACTTTCAGCGGCGACAAGTCATCGCTAAAAAGTCGTTGCCGTAACAGCCGTGGCTGAAAACTTTCAGTGGCGACTAAAAAGGTTGCCGCTGAAAGTAGACTTTTAGAAGTTTCGGCAGCGACATTTGTCGTCGTTGAAAACACTTTCGGCGGCGACATTTGTCGCCACTGAAAGGCTTTTCAGAATGTCACTGCTAAAAGACTTTTCAGCGGCGACAAAGGTATGTTTAGCGGCGACTTTTTTGTCGCCGCTGAAAGTAATGCCTAAGAAGAGTTGGCTTTACCAACGCCACGTCATTACCGTTGGTGCCATATCATCATCTCCGCTCGCCACGTCATCACTACCGGTGCCACGTCATCATCGCTAGTGCCACGTCATCGTGGCCGGCGACCACGTCATCACTGCCGACCGCAACATCATCACTAGCCACCTCCACATCATTGTCACATCACTCCTCCCCGCCACGTCATCATCCAAATATTTTCATCTTAAATGTGTCTTCTTCAGGGTTCGAACTCATGACCGCTTCCTTTCGTGTCCAATCTTCTTAGTGCTGAGCCAGATTGAATTTGTTTATTAATATTATAAAATAAAATATATATTATTATATTACACTTTTAGCGGCGACAAAAAAAGTCGCCACTGAAAGTGGACTTTCAGCGACGACACTTTTATTGCCGCTGAAAGTCTAAAGTCTTAGTTTTAGCAGTAAACTTTCAGCGACGACATAAAAAGTCACCGCTGAAGGTCCACTTTCAGCGGCGACCTTTTGTCACTGCTGAAAGAACCTTCGGTGGCAACAAAAAAGTTGCTGCTGAAGGTTCACTTTCAGCGGCGACAAAAAAGTCGCCGCTAAAAGTTCAGTTTTAGCGGCGACAAAAAAAGTCGCTGCTGAAAGTCTTCAGCGGCGACTTTTTTTGTCGCCGCCGAAAGTCATCGCTTAAAGTCTGTTTTTTTGTAGTGTTGATGGCTTCTTAGCCAAGGAGTCTTTTCCAGAAAGAGGTTCATGGACTGCTTTGTCAAGAGTAGTACAGAGTAGTAGGGAGGTGTTGAGAATAAGAACAGTAGACAGAGACTATTTTGTCATTTTTCTTACCTTGGTTTGATTGCCAACACATATAAAAAAAAAAAAGGAAATTATCATAGCAGTTAAAACAGTAACAAATTGTACTTAAAGCTTTAATTTCTTGTAAAGCAGTTGATAATATTTAACGGAAATATGTTTACTGCGAATGATTAGAATATATTTAAAAGTTCATTACTCCAGTGAAAATGCCATAAATTTATTCACATTTTATATCAATTAAACAATCAATTTAAAAGCCATAAATTTATTATGAAAATGCCACTGCATTTATTATTGCTTTCTTCCTAAACCGACATAGAAGACTAACAAGAAAACTACTTTTTATATTAGTGGTTACATGACACTCAATAATGAACATGTTGGAACGATTATAAGCTCAGATTTTAGGCACTGATAGGACAAACGAGGCCAATTTCCGATAACAATGAACTGGCCTATATCCATGGTCTACTTGAGAATTCTTCAGAGGGTGGATATTTTAATTGGCCAAGTTCTAATATGAGAATATTTGACAGAAATTATTTTTTGCAAATTGAACAAAATAAAAATAAAAAGAAAAGAAAAACGTTCCAATGGTTTTCCATGCATCATCAATGCTGATTGGTTCAAACTCGAAATGCTTATTAAACGGGAAAAAAGGTTATGCAAAACTTGATTCTCACACACCCACACTCCAATGAGATACAAACTCAGACAATGCAACCATGTTAAAGTTTCCAGTAAACAAAAGGCTAAAAACGAAATTAGGTAAATTAAAGCAATAAACAAATCACACGTTTTTGGTCAAATAACATTCATATTACCAAAAGATACAAAAGTTTCTTAGATGATTGAAGTTCGCCTGTTGGAAATTATTATATATAATAAGCTGAGATCACATAAAGACTAGAGACCATAAAAGAGAAATTGAAGGAATAACTTTAAATCCTCTCAATTGCTTACCTGCAGAACTACTAATGAGTAATTGAAAGGAAATCAATTGCGAGTGAAACCAGCATTAGTCCAAGTTTGAAATTGTAACTTGGAAAATCTAATTCAGTCAGAATTTTTCCTTTGCAGATGAGTGGCCTGAATTGGATGAATATTGTGAGGATTTAGTGTATGACCTCCAATTGGTTGAAGGCCTAGAGTCATTGGTTGCAGAAGAACTAGCATATGCAGATGAATAAATTGAAGAACCAATATCAGAAAAGGATGGACCAACATATGTTGGTTTGGGCATTGTAGGTGGGAGAGTAGGCAGTGAAGCTTCAAAGTTAAGTACATAAAGTGCTTGTCTAACTGTAGGCCTCATAGTATAATCTGGGTGAGCACACGATAGCCAAAGAATCGTTAGCCTTTCAAGTTCTTGCTCATCAAAATCTCCATCAAACCTCTTATCAGCTGCTTCAAGAAGCTCACCTTTGCCATATAGTTCCCATACCCATTCCACCATCATGACTTGGTCATTGGGAGCATAGTGGTCAATTGGCTTTCTCCCACAAGCTATTTCTAGAGCAACAATTCCAAAACTGTATATATCAGACTCCTTTATTGCCTTGCTTATGGTTGCACATTCAGGAGCCATGTACCCTTTTGTTCTTGCAACAATTGTTATTTCTGAGCGCTTTCCATGTTCTACGAGCCTTGCTAACCCAAAATCTCCAAGCTTTGCATCGAAGTTTGAATCTAACATAATATTGCTTGATTTTATGTCCCTGTGAACCACACACTGCTCCCACTCTTCATGAAGGTATAGTACTGCTGAGGCTAAGCCTTTAGCAATACTGTATCTGACTGGCCATGTCAAAAGGTTTCTGCTTCGATATAGATGATAATCTAAGCTTCCACTTGGCATGAACTCATAAATAAGTAGAAAATCATTCTTCTCGTGGCACCAACCCATGAGTTGCACCAAATTCTTGTGCCTCAGTTGACCGATGATCTTTACTTCAGCGGCATACTCCTTCACTCCTTGTCTAGATTCATGGGAACCCTTCTTTACTGCAACATAAGAATTCAAGCCTCTGATAAATCCTTTGTAGACCCCACCAAAACCTCCTTCTCCGAGTTTATGTTCCTCTGAGAAGTTATTTGTGGCTCTTACAAGTTCGTTATAGGAAAACTTCTTTGGTCCGACACATTCAAAATCTTCGTCCAAGGAAAGATCCAAGCGATCACGTCCTTCCACTCTACAATTTGACCTCCATATCAGAAACCAAGCCATGCATAACACGCCAATCACTAAAACTGATCCAATGCTCAATCCAATGACCGAACGCTTATTATTGTTTTCACCCCTTTGCATCACTCCGGCCACTCCAAGACTTGAATTAAAGGACCATGAACACAGTGTATGTAACTCAAACCGTAACCCTGTGGCTGAAGAGACTCCAAATTGAACTTCTTCTGGTAGGTAGTCTCCCAAATCAATCGTACGGGAATGATTTTGTCTTATGTTGATGTTATCCTTATATCCTGTAAACATGACACTTAACTGGAAAGAGCTAGACTCATAGGTAATCTCAGCATCATACTTTCTACCATCATTCATAGTGTACCCTTGCGTTCTATGATTAGTCTGCATTGTTTTTGCAAGGATTCCTACGTGATCATAGGGTGGATCACCCACATCCGTATTGGGAAAGGTGTCAAATTCCACTGCTACGAATGGATGTTCGTCGAGATAATTTTGATCCTGCATCTGTGCGCCACTCACAAGGCCAATACCTGTGCCATATGGGGGAGATGGAAACGGAAAACCAGGCTCTGCCAAGAAGAATGTGATGCCATCTCCCTTCCCATCACGAGTTTCATTTAGTACGTGGATGATGAAGGTGAAACGAGTAGTGAAGTTTGCGAGTGTTCTTGTCTTATTGTCCCAAAGTTGCAATGAGTTGTTGTCTGTTACCCTCCCTGCACTTTCTTTCTTGTATCTGAGTCGACAAGAATCACATTGTCAGGTTCATGACAAATTTATAATAGGCATTTTTATTTTTATGTATTATATATATATCTTTCATTTCAACTGAACTGTAGCGATTGAGATAACATCAAATTATATGACTAAGCGTGTGCGTGGGAAATGACACCAAAATCTATGATTCGAGTAAGCTAAGCTTACATACGTTTTGACCTTGTGTTGGTGGCCATTAGGTAGTCTTTGCATGCATCAGCTTTTGATGAAGTTGTGTGGCTTAGATAGCTAGATAACTAATACTATCTCAAGTGCTTAACATAAAAACTAGTTTAACTTTTAATTTAGTTCTAAATATAATATGCTAATCCATTTTCTCCGTCATATTAATCCATTTTTTTCAAAGTAGTGCTTGTAATAGTTACACATATTAGAAGTTTCATCAATTGGTAGTTTTAGCTACATATGATTAGTAAGGATATTTTAAGGAAAATAACATCTATTTATTACAAATAATTAATTTAACAAACTTTCTTAACATACTAAAATTAATCAACTAACTTTTATATTGAGGACCAAAAGTAATATGTGGGTATTAAAAAAAAATTAGTTAAGTTATTTGTTAAAAATATGTGTTGGTTTTTCTAGTATATCATCTTTAATCATCTACACTGAAAACCCTTGATATGTGCAATCAATTAGATAATTTGGAGAAATAAATTTATAAATTTGAAAAAGAAAGTGGATTAAGTCTTATATTTAGTATCAAAGTTTAACCCATAACTAACTTTTATATTTAGGACCAGAGGGAGCAATAAATAGAGCTACCTATTTTTTTAAGAATAAAAGGTGTGTCCAACACCCTAATCTTATTTTCTATGTGCATTTAGCATTTTGATCTTATTTTTCTGGTATATAAAAATGGATGCACCAGAAAAATAAGACTAGGGTGATAAATATACCATAAAAAAAGATCAAGATATTAGATGCACATCAGAAAATAATTTCAGTTGTTAGATCCCACTTGACCTTTTTGAACTCTATTTCTCTGTTCTCCTTCACAATTAACCATCTCCTATGTAATACCATCAACTAATCAAAATTTAAGTTTTTAGACCACCAAATATGGTCAACTCTCTTTAAGTAATTTATTTTATTCCCAAGACTCGAAAATTAGCTTAAAAGAATCAAGTACGATTGATTTGTCTTTTTGTTTCTTGACAATCACAAAGATTAATACATAGGATTCATTTTAATAGACGATTCCATCTAAATACTAACTCCAACCCTAAATACAAAAGCTAGTCAAGGTTGGATTTAATATAAGATCTCGATTTATTTTGTCTCCTTAATTTATAATATTGTTTGTAAAATATCTCTTTTGATTGTAAAGGGTTTTCACCAAGGAGGTACATGATTAAATAAGATAATTTAGAAAAATTAACACATATTTATTACAAATAATTAATTTTACTAAGTTTTTTAATCCTCCTAAATTAGTTATTTGAGCTCTTATATTAAAAATAATTATGGAACTTGTAAGACAAACAATTACAGTTGATTACCTCAAATTAGTGAAATCCAAAGGAATCAACGAGATCCTTGGCTAAAATTTTTACCCAAAACAAAAAAAAAAGATCACATGTTGATAGAAATGCCTTTTGCCTCTCATTTGGTCATCGGAGACCTGCTAGCAGTGGGGTCACTTTTTTTTTCTCCAAAGCCATTACCCTATTTTAAAATAATTTAGCTCGAGTAAAATAGTTGAATTTTCAAGTCAGGTTGGTGATTTATAAATAGCATAGTTGTGTAAATTTAATACCCACTCGACACTTCTTCTATAGTTCAAGACTGGAACAAGAGAATTTTAAGTGAAGTTAGTGCTGTTTATAGTGCTGGTTCTGCGCAAATTTCATACCAGTACATTTTCAGTAGTTTTTTTTTTTCCGGGTATAACTCAAAATATCCTTAAGTTATTTTGGATTTAAGATTACTCTTTACGGGTTGAAATCACTTATCATCTTAACAAACAGTATGTTGGTTTCAATAGTTTTATTCTCAGTCCTAGAGAACAAGTCGAAATTAAAAATAGGTTTTAATTAGCTGAAGTTGGTACCCTCCAGTATAGGAGATGCGCCAATTTCATACCCGCCTTGTACTCTCTCGGTAGAACCCTTTTCGGTTTCCAGCAATGGGGTGTTATGCGATAACGTAACCCGTTAACCTCGTATAGATTAATTTGAATTTGAATTTTTATATTAAATGTTCTTCTTTTTTTTACTTCTATTCTTTCTAGAAAAAAAGGGTTTTAATGTGTATGATCTAAACAAAAAATAATTTTTTAATTGTCTTTTTATTTAAAATTGATTACTTAATAATTTTAAAGCTAGATCATTAAAATTGTATTTAAACAGTACAGATCTTATTGCGTTTATTATTGCCATGAGTACTGAAATAAGTTCGGTTTGGTATTCTTTAACAGGAAGGGAAAAAGTTTTGGTACTTGTGAATTGTAATGATGAGTATTATAGTGCTCGTGTAATGATGAGTTGTTGCGGTGATATCCATATTGTCTAAATACAGTTTTAATAATTTAAATTTAAAATTTTTAAATGATCATTGTTTTAAAAAAAATCATTTTTTCAATTTATAATTTAGAGATAATCTTTATTTTATATTATATATATATATATATATATATATATATTAAGTTCAGACCATTCAATTTAATCTAGACATATCGTTGAGATTTGGTGCTCATGAGCCAAGTGATAGCAAATTTCATACCCACCTTACACCATTTTAGTAATTTTATTTATTCAACCACCAAGAACAATTTGTTCACTTAAAGTTTGAAATAGACCAATTTTCAAGTGAGGTTAGTACTCTTTTAAAAGAGGGATTGTATAAATTCCATATTCAACTTGTAAATGGATTTTGCAAGATAACTTATAAACAGAAACATATAAAGTATTTATAGATTGCATGATTTATAAATAAGAACTGAGTGTGTGTATCATAAGACAAAATTAAATATATATATTTTTAAGAAATCCAAAAGAAATAACTACTCTTCTCGTCTTTAATATAAGACTTAATTAACTAATTTCAGTAAATTGAGGATGTTAATTAATTAAATCAGTCAATATGATATTTTTTTAGAATATTCCAAGCATCTTTTTTGATTTCCTTCCTTTCTCTCTTTCTTGATTATTGTTGAAAGAATGATAATAAGGTTAATTTGATAAGTATATGAAATAGGTCTTATATATAGGACCAATATCAACCCTCTTCTATATTAAGGACCGAAGGAATACAATTTTTTTTTTGGGGCCAGAAGAAGCTATAATATATATGATAAAAGCATATTTCTAAAATGATCAGGCCATCAGAATGTAATGAAAGAAACTACAATTACTTGTATACTGATGATGTATACATTAATTACCTGGTGAGGTTGATGTGCATCCCATTTTCTTGGAAAACATCTCCTTGAAGGTTCAAGTTCTGATGATCCACATCACGAAATTGCTCATAATTGAAGGTTATTGAGGTCGCACTAGCATTGTTTGTGAGAAACAAGAAAATTTTGGTTATGAACAAAAGAGAAAGCAGATGGGTTTTACTCTTGTGCAGAGATATCTCCATATAGCTGATATAATAAAGACTTGTTTGTTCAAATTGGAGGCAGTTTAAAGATGACTCGGTTTATATAAAGAACCACCGGTTTTGCTTCAGGAAGGCATATTCAAATTAAAATCGATCTGCCAAAAATGAATAAATTGAGTTAAAAATTTATTTAATTTTTTTTCTTTGATTTTTATGTATTAGGAAAAAAAAAATGAACCGAAAAGAACCTTAAAAACAGGAAATTTCGAAGAAGGCAACTAATACTTGCACATGGTGGGAAAGAAGGGAAAACTTGAACTGAAAGTATGACAATGTAGGGAAATGACCAACACGCGCTTCTGTCAATTTGGGAAAATGACTAGATTTGATCTGAAAATAACAAGATAGCAACGTAAACTAACAAGTTTACAATACATAATAACAACACGCTTTTCTCAACTGAAAGCATTTGTCCATTCAGAAAAATGACTAAATTTGATATCAAAATGACAAGCTGAAACATAAATTAACAAGTTTGGAATACAGAATACAATATTCTTTTCTAAGTATCACATAAAGGCATATTGGTCATTTTCTTCATACTTTCAGAATTCCAGTTCAGGCTTTCCCTCCCTGGAATGCACTGATGGGGAATGGAAGGGAATGTAATTAGGATTAGATAAGTTTGTTTGGTATGATGTTGGGAATGAGAAAATTGAATATAATTTTTTATATTTAATTCAATAATAGCACAAGTTAAAAAGACTAAAATAACCCTTTCTCCTTATTCACCCTGCACCGTTTTTCCTGCCTTGAATCCGTGATCCTTGCTTTCCTTCTTCTTTTCCTCATTATTATTTTCCACAATAATTTCAGTTTGGTTGTTAATTTTTTAATCAATTTGTTGCCGCCCTTCATGTTCGATACTCTCACGGCCCATCCTGACGTTCCTTCACTCCTTTCAAGTTTTCTTGCGTATCCCTGGTTAGATTTTGATTTTGAAATTAGCTTCAAGTTTATAGTTTTTTACGTTTTATGGGATGTCTTTGAGTGAAAATTAAATAATATTTTTAAAAATAATTTTATGATATATAAAGTGAGTATGTAAGAAAAATTTTGTTTCAATTATATAAAAAATCCTTTAAAAGTGTTTTTAAATTGATTTTTATAATCTAACTAAATGGGTTATCAATACAATATGATAGCCGGAAATAGTACTTTGAAAGCCATCTTTACCTTTAATTTTCACCTAGCACTTAGGCAGCAATCCAAATCATTTGATGTGACTTTATGGATCTACTTGACTTGACTTAAATTTTTTTTTTTTTTTTTAAATTACGCGACTTCAGGGGTCTGCTTGACTTGACTTAATTTTTTTTTATTTTTTTATGGTCGTTATTCAAGTAAGTGCTTGGGAATTTAACCAGTCCACTGACTTCTTCTACGATGGACAAGTGGCATGGATTGATCTAGCCGATGCATCAAATAGGATTGAATTTAATAAAAGGAAAATTAATCCTTTCTGTTGTATCTCAATCATATAGGTTTGACTATTCATTGCAATTCAATCTTTAAAATTTTAATTATGTAAAACTTTAATCCATATATTTTAAAAAATAACATTGCATATTTCATGAAATTTAGGAACTAATATACCCTTAATGAATCAAGCAAAGCGGAAACTTGTTTGACCTCATTTTCTTCGTACGGATGGAAAGCCAAGAAGATCAACACGGCTGTTTCGTCCGATGGTATGTGTCTCAGGTTGATTCCTAAATGTTGCTTTCAAACTTCTCCAAAGTCCAGAAAACAAAATGACTGTTCACACATGGATTGTGACTGATCGGATGCTTTCCCAATGGAAAATGCAATGCCTCTTCAGTATCGTACGTATCTTGCAAATTTTCAACATCTAGTGATGATGTGGATGGATTGAACTATTGGGAGTCATCGTTGGAAAATTTGGCTGAAGATTTTAAGGCCCTCGTTTCTGGTTAGAATTCAATGAAACTAATCAATACATAGATTATATTGGTTGCTTAGAGAAACTCATGCGCTTGGAACCAGAAAAATTAGTTATCTGGGGCAAAATATTTTTGAGTTATACACGATATAGGTACCTAAACTTTATCTCATGTACAAATATACCCCTTATTATATTATAGTATAGTATAGTATAGTATAGTATAGTCTTAGAATAGGCCAACTCTTGTGTACGATGAAGATGGAGTGCGAAATTGCAAGATAAATGCATGGTTGATGTTGACAAAGGTACATCCAATCAAAGATATTTTGTTAGGAAAATTACGGTGAGGTCTAAAAAAAAAAATCGCTAAGAAATCCTAATAACGAGAAAATAGCATGAATATCTTGTCATTTTCATTGCTTATTACTCAATTGTTATGAGATTTTTTTGTGATTACATTTCTTTTTTATAACCTTATAATAAGTCTCCCTATTTTCTTTTGAAAATGTCAGATAGATGGGGTTAATTATTAGTCAGCTTGGAAATCAACAAGGAGATCGGAAATGTAACTAATTCTTAGTGCAATGAATAGTACCTGGAGGTCTGAGAAACTTGATAGAGTCTCAATTTGATCCTGAATATGATTTGTTTGGAGACTGTCGATTTTATGCATCTTGTCATTATCATAGACTTGAAATAACTACAGTAGTGTGGTGATATTTTATTTATTAAATGTGCATAACACTTACATATTATTTGATTCTTAATGTAAGAGCTATTTCACTACAAAAAAAATAGGGAATTAGTGACGGAATTTTATTCCGTCATTAATCCGTTACTAATACTTCATAAATTCCATCACTAAAATTAGCGACGGAATATTTCCGTTGCTAAAGCAGTGATAGATTAGTGACGGAATTTTATTTCGTCACTAAATTCTATCACAAGTCCATAACTGATTTTGTTTTAAATGATTGGTGACGGATTAAGTTCATAAAAATAACAAAAAATTTTGTTGATAATTATGTAATTCTATATAATCAAAAGATTATGAAAAGCCCCTTGCTTATTTCTATTCTTTTTCTATCATATTTAGAGAATTCACCGTAGTACTAGAAAGTCATAATATGTATACTGTGAAGAAGACACGGAAAAATTCTGTTACTAACTCCCATCACAAAACATTTTTGTGACGGAAATTAGTGACGGAATTTTTCCATCACTAATTTTCGTCTCAATTCTATCTCTAAACATTTGCAAAAACATATAATATAAATATATAATAATTATTTTTTAAACTTATTAACAGAAATAAAAATAAAATATATCATAAATTTTAAATAATATATCATATAAAAATTAAAAAAATAAAAATATTATAAAAGAAAATAAAAATAAAAATATACAATATACTTATTATTTTGTTAAATATATGAACAAAAATATAAATTATTAGAAAATTTTTTACTAAAATACAAAAATTAACTTCAAATAAATAATAATATACTAAATATATATTCGTATTCGTTATTAGAAATATTATGTATATTTATTTCTGCATAACAATTTCGTAGGTGCTTCTCAGCTCAACTGGCAAAGGTTTCAACACGTGTCTAGAAGGTCTCAGGATCGAACCAACACTCCTTCATAAAATTGAGCCAATTTGTGACGTGGTGATAATGTGGACAAGGTAATGACATCGCGGCTTATAATGATGGACACGTAGCAGTGGCAGCCATTGATGATGTAGCGACTCAAGTGATGGACACGTGGCCATGATACAGATGAGGGGATGATATAGCTGCATGGGTGAGAGGAGAATGTGAAGCGGCAACTAGTGATGAGGTGGCGGTCATATACATGACACGTGGCGGTAATCAATTTTTGCCATGTGGTATTTTAAATTTACAAAATAAAAAAAATTTAGCAATGGATTAGTTACGAAAATTTTCGTCAACAATTTGTGACGGAATTTTCTATCACTATTTCGTGTTAGTGGGATATCTGTCACTGATTAGTGATGGATTAGTAATGAAAAATTTTTGTCACTAATTTTTATCACTAATCTGTTGCTAATTAGTGACGAAATTTTGAATTCCGTTACTAATTATTTAGTGATGATGGAATTAGTGATGGAAAAATTTTTGTCGCTAACTAAATTTCGTCACTAATCCATTATTAATTTTGATTAGTGAAGAAAATTTTCTCGCTAAATTCCATCGTTGATTTGGTTTTTTTTTTGTAGTGAGCTTACCTAATATGATTAAATTAAAAAAGCTAAATAAATTATTTAAATTTGACATATGTGACATGATCTCTCTAAAAATACTCTTATATAACACTAATATATATTACTCTTTACATCTTTTTTTAAAGAAACAATCACTTTCATTGTGGCGTTCCAAAATGCAAGAACTAAATCCTCTTTGTTTAAAATTTTAAACTAGTTTATTCACTTTTATTTTCATTCAATATGCACTACTACAAAATACTTGATTTGTAGCACCCATTTTGTAGCATTTAAAACAAAAATGCTACAACTAGTAATCAATAAATTATTCAAAAGAAAAAAAGACATATTCTAGCGTAGCCCTTTCTCAAGAAAGCGCTACAGCATCCATTTAGTTTATTAAAAAAAAAATATAAAAACAGTTTGTAGCATTTTCTAATAAAACGGTACAGAAGATACAACACTTCCTATAGCGCTTTCTGAGAAAAGCGCTACAGGCGAGCATTTTCTCAAAAAAAATAATTATTAAACTTAGTGTAGCGTTTTGTTTTAAAACACTACAGAAAGTCCATTTTTATTTATCTATTTAAATTAAAAAAAGCTAAATGAATTGTTTTTAAAAAGTAAAAAAGTCCCCTGCTAATGATATTTCCCTTGTTCTTTTTCATTTTCACAAATATATTTAAGTTAAAAAATAAAATGATTTTTTAAAAAAAATTATAAAATCCCCTGCTGTAGTATTTGTTTATAGCATTTCCCCTTTTTTTTTTCATTTTTCCAATTTAAATTTGAAGAAGTAAGCTAAAAGCAATTTTTTTTCTAAAGTTATAAAAATCCCTTGCT